GTCTAGATACGACAAATCAGGGTCTGGAGTCCGATCAGTATCGACAGTGATGTGTCCAGACTGCCGGAGCACAACGCCCAAACTCATTCACGACTTTACCACAGGGGATCTGATATGTGCCGACTGCAAGAGCAGCGTAGGCGACCGACTAATAGACACGGGTGCATGGCGGACAACAGCAAAGCACAGCCGGCAGGCCGAAGAAGATGCCCGCTTACTGATGTCGGCATCGAGCTTTTCGTTACAGCGGCTTACGGCAGAACCCAGCAATCCGGGCGTTGAGAGCAATAGCGTTGTGGTGAAGCCAGTGGATAGCGTGGGCAAAGGAGTGTTGTCGAGGGCACTTCGCAGTAGAACGCATGACCGGGCGGCGGCGCAGCGCCATGAGCGGCAAGAGCGCAATTTGATGAGGGCCTTTGGCGAGATATCCTCGGTATGCAGCACGATGGACTTGCCGCCGATCATCGACACGACGGCACGCGACCTCTATAAGCGCGTGGACGCCGAGAACCTGCATCGGGGCAAAAGCATCGATGCGATTATAGCGTCCTGTATATTTCTGGCATGCCGGCAAAAGTCGCTGCCGCGGACATTCAAGGAGATCTGCGCGCTGACCAAAGTGCCGCGGAAGGAGATTGGACGGACATTCAAGTTTCTCAAGGAGAAGCTGGGGGCGGATGCCGGGCCCATGTCCTCGGATGACCTGATGACCAGGTTCTGTGCCAACTTGTCGCTGCTGTCAAGTGCTCAGGAATGCGCGATTATGCTGAACCAGATGGCCAAGCAGCGGGACACGTTGGCGGGCAAGAGCCCTGTGTCTATTGCGGGCGCCTGCATCTACCTGGCGTCGCATCTGGTGGGCCAGCCGAGAGACGCCAAGGTCATTTCGCACGTTGCGGGCGTCAGCGAAGTCACCATCAAGAACTCGTACAAGCTGCTATTTGCTGACCGGCAGCAGTTGGTATCGGAATCAATGCTCAAGGCCTTTCCAATGGCATCATTAGAGTTTCTGCCTATACCATAAAAATAATTTTTTTTCATTAGTCAGCCATCACAAGCTTTCTTTTCTCTTTTTTTTTTTTTTACTTGTGAGCATGTCGCAGACAGAGAGCAAGCCGCAAGCGGCACCCGAGGACAGATTCAGTGTTAAATTGGTGTGCCGAAACTGCCGAGACCCGGTCCCCAACATTGTAGAAGACTTTGCCTCGGGAGACTTGGTGTGCGGCAATTGCGGGCTGGTGCTGGGCGACCGCATAATAGACACGCGCTCGGAGTGGCGGACGTTTGCCAACGACGAGGGCGACGACCCTTCACGCGTCGGCAATGCCGCCAACCCGTTCCTGGACGGAGCACAGCTGGACACGGTGATTGCCCGCGGCGGAGACAAAGGATCCGGCCTGGCCAAAGACCTGAACCGCACTCACGGACGCACCACGGCGCAGCGGCACGAGCGGAACCTGATTCAGGCGTACAAGGAGATATCGGCACTCTGCGATGCCTACGATATCCCAAAGTCCATCGTGGATATAGCAAAGCAGCTGTACAAGAAGGTGGAGAATGAGCAGCTGCAGCGGGGCAAAAGCAACGATGCGATTATTGCCGCATGTATATTTCTGGCGTGCCGACAGGACAATGCGCCTCGCACGTTCAAGGAAATTTGCGCGCTGACCAAGGTGGACCGTAAAGATATTGGCCGGACGTTCAAGTTTCTGAAGAGCAAGCTGGGCACCAATGCCGGCACGACCTCATCGAACGACCTGATTGCGCGGTTCTGCTCGAACCTGAACCTGGGGCAGGACGCGTGGAGAATAGCCAAGCAGCTGACCGAGAAGGCCAAAGACATGGAGCACATTTCGGGCAAGAGCCCGCTGTCTATTGCCAGTGCGTGCATTTATATGGCGTCGCATCTTATTGGCGATGGGAGGGACGCAAAGGCCATATCGGATATCGCTGGTGTGGGCGAGGCAACTATAAAGTCCACGTACAAAATCATATATGCCAACCGTAAGGAGCTGCTGACGGCGGAGGTAATGGAGCGCAATCCCAAGGCCGCAGAGTCCAACCTGATCGTGCCATGATATCGGCAAAGAGGAGAGTGCGCCTTTCTTGATGTGACTTGTAAAGAATTGAAGCGAAAGGGGAAAAAGTCACGCACATTAGTCCTCTTGCTCGTCGTTCGTCGTGTGCGCTTTCTTTGTGAAATCCCATTTTGTCTCTTTACAAGACATTCTTTTTTTCTCTGCACAAATGGATTCCATGTTTAATGTACATCTAATATGCCGCAACTGCCGCAATGATGTGCCCCACATCATTGAGGATTTCTCTTCAGGGGACATGGTCTGTGGCGACTGTGGGTTGGTTCTGGGCGACCGCATCATCGATGTACGCTCGGAGTGGCGCACATTTGCAGATAGTACAGGAGACGACCCGTCTCGTGTAGGGAATGCTGGCAACCCGCTTCTCGACGGCAACCAGCTAGACACAGTTATATCCAGCACAGGAGGCAGCGCAGAACTAACAAAGTATCTCAGCCGGGCGCAGAAAAAGACAAGCGACGAGCCCGCCATACAACTGGAAGGGTACCAGGCCATCTCCAACATTAGTGGTGCAAATGGTGTGGCAAAATCCGTAGAAACCATAGCCAAGCAGCTGTACAAAAAGGCAGTGAAGGAGAAGCTGCTGCGCAAACGCGACCATGAAGCGGCAATAGCTGTCTGTATGCTATATGCGTTCAGAATAGACGGGGTATCGCGGACATTTAGAGAGATATGTAAAATGACCAAAGTGAAAATGCAAGAGATGGTGCGAGTGCACAAGCTGCTGCGGGACAAGTTTGCTGTAGACACAAGGACGACCTCAAAGGGCCTGATCGAGCGGCTATGCGGCAAGCTGGACTTGGGCAATGATGTGCGGAAGGCTGCTGATACACTGAATGCCGCGGCGATGAAACTGCCTGATATCTCGGGCAAGAATCCAAACACCATCGCCAGCACATGCATCTATATGGCAGCTAGCAATGCTGGCTGTCCCAAAAGCGCAAGAGACATCTCGCGCGTGTCTGGGGTTGCCGAGGGCACAATAAGACAGACATTCAAGGTCCTTTCCGCTCACGTTTAAAAAGAACACACATGTATAAAAAGAAGAGATGTTTTAAAAAGGCAGCCATCTTCTCTTTTATCCTTTAAAACTTTTCCTTCTTTGAAAAAGCAATGTCGGCCAAGAATAAAGCAGAAGATCAGTTTAGTGTACGGCTGGTGTGCCGCAACTGCCGCAACGATGTGCCCCACATCATTGAGGATTTTGCTTCAGGAGAGCTGGTCTGCGGCGACTGTGGGTTGGTTCTGGGCGACCGCATCATCGATGTACGCTCGGAGTGGCGTACATTTGCGGATAGCACGGGGGACGACCCGTCTCGTGTAGGGAATGCCGGCAACCCGCTTCTGGATGGCGACCAGCTAGACACGATGATTGGACGGGGCAACGGAGACGCGGCGCTGTCCAAGGGGCTGAACCGCATCCAGGGCCGCACCAAAGAGCACAAGCACGAGCAGGCGCTGCTCCGCGCATACCGGGAAATCGGGACACTATGCGACAGCTTCAAGCTGCCCAAAACCATCGTGGACACGGCCAAGCAGCTATACAAAAAGACAATGAGCATGAATCTGCACCATGGACGCAGCGCCGATGCCATCATGGCCGTATGCGTGGTGCTGGCATGCCGCCAGGGAGGAGCGCCCCGAACCATCAAGGAGGTATGTGCGGTGAGCCGAGTAAACGTCCGGGAAATATCGCGCACACTCAAGCTGCTGAAGACCAAGCTTATTTCCGAGTCCAGCTTGACGTCCTCGAAGGACCTGATCGAGCGGTTCTGCTCGGACTTGGGGCTGGACATGGACGTGTGGCGCATATCCCGCGCAATGAATGAGCTGGCTGGGGACGTGCCCAGCATTTCCGGCAAAAACCCCTTGTCCATTGCCGGCGCCTGCATCTACATGGCGTCGCACTTGGTGAACAAGGGGCGCAGCCCCAAGGCCATTTCCGGCGTGTCGGGAATCAGCGAAGCAACCGTACGGTCCACCTACAAGATCCTGTACGCCAGCCGGAAAATGCTTCTGACCCCAGAGATCATGAACCGCAATCCGAATGCTCAAGAAAAAAACCTGATCGTTCCCTGAAATCTCTCTTTTGTTTTGTCTTTATTTTACTTTTTCTTCTCCCCCGCAATTTTTTTCTAATGGCACAAATTAGCTATCGAGACGTGTTTTGGTTTGTTCCGAATCTCATTGGCTATTCGCGGGTGCTGTTGGCCGGCGCAGCCGTCATTGGCATGTACTATGAGCTGCCCGTCGTGACGTTCTTCTCCTATGCGCTTTCAGAGGGCCTGGATGTTGCCGACGGGTACTACGCGCGGAAACTGGGCCAATGCAGCAAGTTTGGCGAGGTACTCGACATGGTCACCGACCGATGCACCACCACCGTGCTGCTCACCTACCTGGCCCAGCTCTACAACAGCCGGCTGCTCGCCCTTGTCTTTTGCCTGGTCATTTCCCTCGACATCAGTAGCCACTACATGCAGATGTACAGCCAGCTTGTAACCGGCAAGCTCAACCACAAGCAGATGGACGACAATGCCCACTGGCTCCTCAAGGCCTACTACACCGACCGCAAAGTCCTCTTTGCCTTCTGCTTTGGCAACGAGGCCTTCTTCCTGCTGCTCTACCTCAACATGTACCTGCCCCGCTACGCCCTCTTCCTGTCCGTCCCCCTCACCGTCGCCGCCTTCCCCATCAGCCTGATCAAAAACGTCATCAACGTCGTCCAGCTCTACGAGTCTGCCAGCGATCTGGCCCGCATCGACGCCGCCCAGATCAACCAGCCCTCCAAATCCAAGTAACCCGCTTTCTTTTGTATAGAAATTCAACGTCTTCAGCTTCGCAAATCCCGCTAAAAAAAAACTGATAAAGCCCAGACCGCCGCCCCAGAAAAAAAAATGCAAAAAGTGGAGGACCTGGGTATCGATCCCAGTGCCTCTCGCATGCGAAGCGAGCGCTCTACCATTTGAGCTAGACCCCCTTAATCTGCTGATCTGGCCAATCAAGATCTCCGGATTTTTGATCCGGAGATCTTCTTTTTTCTTGCTGACAAAACAGCTTTTTCTGCAAATATAAACCAAGTCCACTGCACGCTGGGTTCTGCTGCAGCAACATGCACAAACACACAGATTGCCCAAAGCTGCACTGATTTTTGCGCAGCCAAACCGCGCTTTACTTAAATCTGGACCGCTGACAGATCAGCCTCCGTATCTTTCTTCTGCTTTTCTCAACAGCTACTTGCCCAACGCAACAATGACCCCAGCCGAACAACATCCCCGAAAAAGGCTCCGCAGCAACGGCGACCAGGATGACTGGCCACCGACAAGGGTGCTTGGCAGCAACCTAGGGTATTCGGGGTTTAGACGCGGGATCCAAAGCGACCGCCTGTTCGTCGACAAGACGCTTCTGTGCAAGGCGCTGTTTGATTCCGAGGCCACGGTGGTGTGTGTCTCGACTCCACCGGGGTTCGGCAAGGTTGTCAACACTGACATTATTGAAAAGTTCTTTGATGTCTTGACGCTGGAGGATATGAAGGACTCTGCGTCATACAGTTATCAGAAACCGTCGGGGCCCGTGGTTCCCGAGACGGCTCGTGCCAGCCGCGAAAAGCTGTTCGAGCAGACCCTCTTGCAGGAGCGTCACCCAGAGTTTGTTAAGCACTTTTGCCGTTACCCGGTTATGTACATCAACTTTATGGTCACGCAGTATGACAGTGCCAGGCCGGAATACGTGTATAAGCGCCTGGTGTGGAGTATGCTGTCGGCGGTTAAAAAGTGGATCGATGCGTTTGACTGCAGCGAGCTGAGCGGTGAGCAGCGGGAGCGGTATGAAGCGCTAGCGGCAATGGAATCCACGGTTAGCGCAGATATTAGAAAGGACTTTAAGGACTGGCAGCAGTACGAGCCATCTCCTAAAGCGCTGTTTGACTGCCTATCCGACTTTGTTGCCAGCATCAGTTCCGAGCGCTACATTATTATAGCAGAAAAGTGCGACGATGTGTTTATTAGGATTCAAGGCAAGTCTTGGGAGCCGGAGCTACGGGCAGTGCTGCTGGAGCTGTTTGAGCGGATGTTTAAAAACAACAATCGGCTTTTGAAGGCTATGCTTATAAGCATCTTTGCCATTCCACTTGATGAGCTGGGTCTGGATAGCAGCGCCAGTATCATTCCCGCATTCAACAACTGCTTCCACAGTCCTGTCGACTATCCGCTGACCAGCGAACAGGCCATTGCCGCCATGTTTGGGTTCACATCGCCTGAAGTTTGCGGAATTGTTAGCAACGTAAAGCTCGCTGAACAGGAAAAGCAGGTGCTTGATTACTTTGGTAGCTACAGCTTTGGATACAAGGACGGTCGGTTCAGTTCTGGCCAGGTAATGACGTATTTATTCACACTTACGAGTCAGAAAAACCAATCGACAGACCACTACAAGAGCTGGTTGCGTTTGCTGCGTCACTTTAACTTCACACCACATGATTCTGTCAAATCCATTGTGCGCAAGGCTTCGCCAGAGCTTCTTTTGCTTCTTTTGCGCTTGATTGGCGACTACGACCACGGAGGTTCCAGCTGTTTTATTTGGCCGTCTGCCGAGATCAAGGACCAGCAGCACAGTCAGGATGAACTATCCAACTTGGTTGTTGATCTTTCAACCAACCCTGGCAATACTGATGCCGAGTCGTCTGTAGACAAAATAGCGACGCTGCTGGTATTTTTGGGATACCTGACAGTTGGCCATAACAATGCCCTGCGTATTCCCAACAACGCCATGCGTGATATGTGGGAGAACCTGCGTTTACTGGCGACATTCAACACACAACTTCAGGTCGAGCAATATGACCAGCAGCACGAGCTCATTAGCAGCCTGTTCAACGGTGAAACCGATACGATCTGCTCTGAGTTTACCAGCCTGCTGGAGCAAATAACAGCAGACAGCCGCACGTATGCTCCACACACTCAGCTCGAGTATATGTGCCGCGTCTTGATGAGCAAGCTTACGATTATGAGATACATGTTTGAGCATCGTCCAGCCGGTATTGAGTACGATGCCCGGTTCCTGGCCGATCCGCAGTTTGACACACCATGGATCATTAAGCTGCAGCCCTTTGGTCGCTATACTCAAGCACTGACAGTAAAGCTCTGCTTCAGAAACATCGCGACGGTGCAGCTGCCAAACGAGCAAGCAGCGGTGGCTAATCCATCAAGCGAGGAGCTGAGCGACAAACCGCAGCACGATATCCAGCTGAACCTTGCTGTTTTGATCGACAACAACAGTGTGACGGTTCAAAGAGCTTGCAATTAATGAAGCCGGCGCTCATTTTTTTTTTGCAAATCCACCTTTTTATTGCGCAGCCAAAGTCGCTGAAAATGGCATTTAAAGTGCCTGGATATTTTCTCTCTTCCGTATTTAAATAATTCTTTCATTATTATACATGGCGGATACTATCAGCAGCAAGCCCGGCGATGACATTGTAAATTGGTCTCGGGTTAGAATACATGGCACCAACACTGGCCCGGGTAGCTTCACACCCACCATAAACCAAAATCAAATGATGGCTGACAAGTCGCTAGTTTGCAAGGCCCTGTTCGACATCGACGCTACTATGGTGCGCATATGTGCTCCGGCCGGCTTTGGCAAGACGCTCAACCTAAAGATCATTAGCACGGTGTTCAACATTATCAATTGTAACGACATGCCGGGCTCGCAAATCTACCAGCCACGGCCGCAAGGCAGCTTGAAAAAGCTGGACCTCGATGTTGCTCCATGGGAGCGGAAAAAGCTGGTAGATTCCCTGCTTATTCACGAGGAAGAGGAGTTTTTCAACCAGCACTATAGCCGGTATCCAGTTATCAGCATCAACTTTAGCCTTCTCGATTCGGCTGAAAACCTGCAGCACTTTTGTTCAAGGCTCTACTTGTGTCTGGGATCTTCAGTTCACTATTGGCTCTATGCTTACCATACGGAGCAGCTGGACCAGACGCAGGGTGAGCTGTTTCAAGAGCTTTTGGATATGTACGCAAACATTGGCATGAGAATCAGGGAAGGGTTGTATGATCCGCAGGAAGGGTTTAGCGTATACAGCCAGCTGTTCTCCAAGTTAATCGAGTTTCTCAAGAGCGTTTGTGCCGAAAAGCACATCATTCTGTTTGATGGCTATGACTTGCCGCTTGTAGCTTGCAATGGCAAGCCCTGGGAGCAGGAGGCGCGGCAAGTGTATTTCGATTTGCTCCACCATCTGCTTAAAAACAACGAGCAGCTGCTCAAGTGCGTGTTTGCTGGCGTATATAATATGCCGCTTGACGGCTTGGATGTGGTGACGGTAGCACCGGCACTAAACATGTACTGCAGCCCTAGCGAAAAAGCCCTGGGATCAATGTTTGGCATAACTCGCTCGGAATTAAAGGAGCTAGGCGAGCTTTTGCATCTTCCCGAGCAGGACATTGAAGATGCGTCCGCGTCATTTGGCGGCTATTCATTTGCACCGCACTCGGAGTATCTCAGCGCACTAAAGACGATGGTGTTTTACCAGACCAAATTGCCGAATCTTCCAAGATACACGCTAAAGTACCACTCGGCTCCTCAGCCCGTCAAAGCGGTCAAAGCAATTTTTTCTGACGCATCGCCTCAGCTATTTATTTTGGCGCTGCGCTTGCTCAACAACTACGACCATGAAAATGGTAGCTGCTTTATTTGGCCATCTCTGCAAGCAAAAGCCGAGCACTGTAAGAATGCAGGCGATCCGCTATCCAGCTTTATTATTGATCCGTCGGCTCATCCAGGCAACACAGACTCAATAGACAAAGTCGTGCCCTTGCTCGTGTATCTGGGCTATCTCAGTATCGGTGCCGACAACACACTAAAGATCCCTAACGGTGGCGTGCGCGACATGTGGGAGGATCTACGGCTGCTAGCAACGTTCAAAACAACTCTGCCAACTCGGCAAGACACCATACGCCAACAGCTTATTGATAGTCTATATGCTGGCAATACCGATTTACTGCGCGCAGAGCTTAGCAGCATATTCCAGAAGCTAGCACCGTTGTCGCAGCAGTTGCAAGTCGAGTTTATGTGTCGTTGGGTGCTGAGCACGCTTACGGTGTCAAAGCACACTTTTGAGCATCATTCGATAAACATGGAATGCGACCTGGACTTTCTAGCTAATCCGCAGCTAAACACGCCGTGGACAATTACACTGTTGCCGTTTGGGCGCTATATCCAGACTTTAAACGTGACATTGGTGCTTGTCGGCAGCGGAAAGACTGAAATTACAGTGAGCAAACTTTAAAGACTTTGTGGAATAAATGCGGAATCTATAAGGGGGTACAAGAGGGTCTTGCCAAACTGGGGAGCGATGAAGCGTCCATGAGGAACACTGTACTTTGTGCAGGCCAGGGCCAAGTCGTTGGGCGGATCCAAGTAGTGTTCATCGGACATCATAAAGGTGCCCCAGTGGACGCCGATCGAGTGGGCGGCGTCAAGGTCCATGTGGATTTTGACAGCATCGTCGGGGTCCACATGCTGATGGCACATGTACCAGCGGGGCTGGTAGCTGCCAATCGGCAGGATGGCAAGCGAGACGGGGCCGTATTTTTCGCCAATGGCCTTGAAAGCCGGGCAATAGCCAGTATCGCCGCAGTGGAAGACCGAGGCGCGAGGACCTTTAACCAGAAAGCTGCACCACAAGGAGGAGTTGCTGTCGAAGCCGTTGCGGCCGCTCCAGTGCTGGGTGGGGGTGGCAATTATCCGGAAATCGTTGGAGTCTGGCAGGCTGAATTCCGTTTCCTGCCACCAGTCCAGTTCCCGGACCTTATAAATGCCTTGCCGGGCGAACCAGTCGCGTAGCCCCAGGGGCACGAACCACGTGACCGAGTTCCCCAGCTGCTTCACGACGTCCGAGTCCAAGTGGTCGAAATGGTTATGCGAGACAAGCACGATGTCGGGACGAGGCAGCTCGTTTAGCTGGCAGGGCACGGGTCGTAGCCG